AAGAAAACACATCTCGCTGAGTTTCTTGGTATTCTTCATTTGAGAGTTCTTGGAGTTCTTCTGTCGTCAGATCAGTTTCAGGTTCCATTATGAGCTCTAAAATGCTCTTTATTTCTCAGATGTGATTTTCATGACTCCATTAGCAGCTTGAGACTTCTTGATATGTCTTTCATATCGAAGATTGTGCCTACTGTAGACCTGTTGAAGCCATTCTGCCTAGCAATATTAGACATCTTGTGCCCACTTTCTACCTTGGCTATTAATCTCTTGCTTGGTTTCTATGGTGAGCACAGTTCTTGACACTCCTCTTTTTAGGCTCCATAATATTATCAGTTTCTTTTTTAAATAAAAAGTTCAGAAAAGCACTTACAAAAATTCAGAGAACAGAAATCAACTAGCCCACAAAAAATTATTTAAATGCAAGGCCCGGATGAAATTCAAAATTTTGTATTAAAACGTTAACGAATATCTGATGGGACAGTTAAACTTTCACCTTTCATAAATAAACCCAGACACAAAACTTAACAAGTGCCTGTCCGACAGTCTCACGAATACTATAAAAAATTATTTCTCAGAAAGGTAAACTAAAAGCTGGAATTACAAGGGGGAGTTTCAAAATTCCAAGGAATATTATACTATCTGATCGGTATTGGGTTGACGTCGATGTTGACATCTCCCGCGCTCCAAAAGGTTTTGAATTGTTACCTGAAGACAAGGGAAAATCAATCGGTATTTGTTATTTTCCATCACTTCTTTTTATGTTTGGTCAGTAAAGTGTTTGTTAACCGAACATGTGTTCGTTGTCTGATCATAAATCTTTCATGAAAGTGTTCATTATCCGATTTGTTCGCTATCCAAACTGTTCGTTAACTGATCACCCACTGTATATTAAGTATATGTAATAAAACCAACAATTTTTATTTTACCATGGTTTCTCTTCAATCCATTGTGCCAAGGCAAATCTTACTTCAATTGGAAAATGGTCACCATATACTGTATGCACCTGTCTCAGTGCATCTCCTTGTAATTGCTTAACTTTTGCCCACAAGGCCATTTAATTCTAAAATTATAATAATTCTAAATTACTTAAAAGGAAAAAAATATGGTAATAATTATAGATTAATATCATGTAACCAAACAATGTCTGTTTGAAATATTAATAAAAATGCTTGTATTTTTTGTTTAAAATAATTTTATGCATCAAAATATTCACCTTTGCATTGAATTACACTTTCTCAACAGGAAGGCAGTTTGAAAATACCGTTTTTATAAATAATTTGAATGACTCTGGAAAAAATCTGTGTTTAATGGACATCAAGGAGTATTGGAGTCAAGGAGTATTGTTTAAAGCTTCACAGAAGATTTTAACAGTTAGCAGTTACAAAGAGTATATGCCAAATTAAGGCTAAACTTGCCCATCTGTGTCAAATCGTCAAAGTGTTTTGGTTTTAAAACAATGCTCACCCACACGGACAGATCTAGATTTTTTGGAGCCAAGAGCTTATTGAAGTCCAATGGGACCCCACTTTTTGTCAATAATGATAACATAATAATACAAATAATACTATAAATTATTATAAACTATTTTTATGATACAATAAGTGCTCATTGTTAATGAAAAAGTATTAAAAATGTATGATGATAATTTCAATTTTTGTCAGCCTTTGACACTTGGGGCTCAAGGCTTAAGTCCTATTAGTCCCTATGTAGATCTGCCCCAGCTCACCCACATGTTGAAGAAATTACAAGAAACAAAATAATGCAATTGGAATGGGAACTTTACCTCATCCTTCCTATTCTATTGACATACACTGCTGGCCATTAAAATTGCAACACCAGGAAGGAATGATCATATGAACGTCAAAAATCACATGAAAGGAAGAAGAGGTTGGGATATGCAAATTATTAGTATTTCAGTGCATTTAGACAATGCAGAGGGACAAACGACATCTGAAGCACTGCATAAAAGAAAAGTTGTGCAGTGGATTTCTCATTCAGAAATTGCTTTGTAAGGTCGGGGTTTCATCAGAATATCGTGTTATGCTTCGAATAAGAAGAAGAAATGCTTACCAGCAAGTGTTGGAATTCGATAGAGGCAGGATCATTGCCTATCGAGAGTGTGGATTATTGTTCCGTGATATTGCCACACGCACTGGTCGAAATCCAACTACTCTCATGCGAATATGGAATCAATGGGCTGCTGAGGGTCTTACTGAATGGCATGCAGGATCTCAACACCCTCCCATGACTAACATCCAAGAGGACAGACATATTGTAAGGTCGGCCATGCAAAACCATACAACCACATCACAGACCATTAGTCAGGAAATAAGCTTGTTTGCAGCACGTCCAGTATCTGCTTGTATGATGCAACGACGTTTGCAGCAGCGTGGACTGTCAGCACGGTGACCATTACTTCAGCTTCCCTTGACAATGCAGCAGAGAGAGATGGCAACTCTGGTGTGCCCAACGACAAAGCTAGATACAGGAGTGGCACAATGTCGTCTTTTCAGACGAGTCCTGGTTCTGTGTGTAGCATTCTGATGGGCGTATACGTGTCTGGAGGCTCTGAGCAGACCACTCGTCGCCTGCTTGCATTTGATATTGGCTTAGGGGCCCTGCATCTGTTGTGATAATATGGGCAGCCATTGGGTACATGACACGCACATCTCTAGTTCGGATCGATGGTAATTTGAATGCAGATTGGTATATTTCTGACATCTTACATCCAGTGGTTGTGCCCTATCTTCGAGGCCTGCAACATGCCATCTTCCAACGAGATAATGCAAGACCTCATGCACGTCGTGTTCTGACCTTCTTCAATACAGAGGATATTCAATTGTTGCCCTGGCCTGCACGGTCTCCACATCTCTCACTAATTCTGTGGTTCTTAACCTGTGGTCCATGGACTACATGGACCACTGGTGGTCTCTAAAAGCACCTGAAGTGGTCCGCGAAGTTATCCCAAAATTATTAAATAAATGACAATGAGTTGATGACAATGCGCAGTATGTCAAGGTTAGAGCCGATAGTGGACTGGGCTGGGATATGGTGTGTAGTCAGGAAACATGAAATTGGAAGGCACTAGCAATAAATTTGCATTTGAATATAAAATCAGTGCGTTTATTGCTAAAATCAACCTATGGATCAGCAAAGTCGAAAGAGAGAATTTTTCTGCGTTTGATACATTGAACCCAATTATTGATTGACAGTGTGCTGAGATTAAAGGACAAATACAAAAGAACATTACATTCCATTTGCAAAGCTTGAAAAATGAATTTAATCACTATTTCCTGACTACAAGGACAAAGGTATTCAGAAACTGATTTGCAATCCTTTCATAGTCAACATTTCTGACGTGCCAGATGAAATACAAGAAGAGTTAATTGAAATGCAACATGATAGTAACTGCAAGGATACATTTGAGACAGGAATTAACCTTAAAGATTTTTGGAGCCAAAAAGCTATTGTCCTAAAATTCCCTTCCCTAAAATTCGAGAAATTGCTTTACAGTACCTAACTTTATTTTCAACCACATATTTATGTGAGCAAGGATTCTCAGTGCTTTTGATAATTAAAAATAAACATCGAAATCAGTTGGATGCCAGTGCTGACATGCGTTTGCTTTCAGTAGCATTGAACCAAGAATTCAGCAGTTGGTAAAGAGTATGCAGTCACAAAAATCACACTAAAATAATATAATTAATGTAACACTTCTGCAAATAATATAATACTCTTGGTTCTGAATAATTTTCTACGTGTTTAATTTATAGAACCTTATAAGAACCTATATTACTGTCAAACAGCTCATGGTCCATAGCAAGACAAAAATTTTGATAAATGGTCCCTCATCACTAAAAGGTTAAGAACCACTGCACTAATTGAAAACATCTGGTCATGGGTTGCTGAGAGACTGGCCCCCGCCACCCTGTCCTGCTAATACAGTTGATGAAGCATGGCATAGACTTGAAGCAGCATGGAATGAGTTGCACGTTTTGTCATTCAAGCCCAGTTCGACTCCATGCTTAAACGGATAAGGGCTGTTTTAGCCACCAGGGATGGCAACTGTGTCTACTAATTTCGCGCCTCTGTAAACCCCCAAACTGCTTGCAAATTTAATCATTTTGTCTTTATGCCATACTGTTTATGTACAATAAATATCTTTTTTTTATTTGCTTTCCTTCTTGGTGTTGCAATTTTAATGGCCAGCAGTGTATATTAATTAATCACCCTTAAAAAGTGTTCTTGGAGTGATCTCCTCACACAAATGGCACTTGAAAAATTGAAAGTCTTTTAAATATCTTTCTCTTCATTCCTATAAAGTCCTCAGCTTCACCTCTGAATCCATTCTTCATTAAAAATATATATTAATAAAATATTTAAAAAACAAATGGAGTCAGATAATCTGTCTTTACTCAAAAGACAGATTATTTCTGGTTTTTTAAATATTTTATTAATATATACTAATCAATTTATCACATTTTTTTATCTTTGGATAATCATATATGTGGAAAATAATTCACAAATCACACGGCTATAAAAGAGGAAGTAACAATTTTTATTACTAAAAATGGTATTTTCAAAAAGCCCTCCCATTAGGAAAGTAATTGAATATAAAGATGAATATATTGATGAATAAAATTATTTTAAACAAATAATACAAGCATTTTTATTCACATTTAAAAAAAATGACATTTATTTAGTCACTTGATTTCTTTTATTTTAAATTTTTTCAATATAGAAATAGTAATCAATTTAACAAAATATATTCTGAAAGATATCAATGAAAATGTCACATTTACTAACCAAATAGATTTTTTGTTGGTTACTTATACATTAGAAGTTAACTAATTTCACAATTTGGTTTTATAAATTACAGCTTAAATTAGACTATAAGCCAATCAGATTATTTAACAGACTATTTTAACTATTTATAAATTTAAAATAGCATGTTAAATAATTCAGTAGTTTGGCTTTACAATTTTTGAGTAAGCAGAGTTGTCCTCTAGAAAATTTAATAATTTAGAATTAAAAGTTACAGGTAATTCTACAGATGCTAGAACATGAAACATTTCAGATTCTGAAATATTGGTGCCAAATTAATGAACTTCAAATGTATATAAATTAAATTTATATAATTACTCTAATTAAAATTCCTACTAAACAATGGCTTTGCTTACCCAAGATCAAATTTGAAAACATTAATTTTAGCCTACAACAATAAAACTAATAATATTTAGTAAAAAACAAATATATCTGATAATGTTTGCTACTTGATTTGAAATCAATATCAAGTTAATTGAAGTATATTCATTACTGCAAGTTTTTTTATTATAGATTTTTTCATTTTTCAAAGTATAAAATTTACCAAAAATGTTTTGATAAAATTTTATATTTTGAAAAACTCCTAGATTTTGTTGTTAATGTTAATATTTCAACAGTTTTTAAAAAGAATATTAATGACCTACTGGCTGTTTCCAACTTATATGTTAGATGGGAATGAGCTTGTGAGCTTGATGGAGAAGTTCAAGGAGAAAATGCCAAATAAATGAAAAGCCTGAACTTTTTAGATTAAAAAACCTGTCAGTAACATTAACAACTAAGATAGTTTTATTGAATTTATGAAAGTGGATAATTGGGAGAAAAAAATATATTAATTCCATAAGCTCAATATTTGCCAGTTATAATTTAAAAATCAATATCGCACGTCGGTTCAAACCTCATTAGTAACGATAACAATTGAACCGAAGTGCGATATGCCATATGCACGCTAATCTCACCAATGGTGGTGATTAGTGGGATCCCTCAAACTTTAAAAATCAATATTCATAAAACTGTTATTATGCATTTCTCTAAAATTCATATCCCATACTGTCCTTCAATTAATATCAATTCAATTAAATAAATTACATTAAGTGTCTTCATGATCTCAATGTCATATTTGACAAAAAATTAATCTTTCATGATCATATTTCACACATTAAAACTCTTGCTATTAGACAAGAGATCATCTGGCACTTCTGTAAAACCATCTCTTCAAATTCCATCTTCAGAACTTTT